AGCGTTGCCAGGAAGAGCGCCAGTTTCCCAAGGGCTGTGCCAGGTCCCCAGCAGGGTGCTGATGTCCCTGGGGCGAGGTGTGTTTTTGTGGTGTCCCCAGTGCTCACACCAGGGTGTGCAGCAGTGTGCCAGTGTCCCCATGGCTGCCCAGGTCCCCTGTGGATGCTGGTGTCCCTGGGATGATGTTGGTGTTCCCAGGGATGTGTTGTCTGTGTTGTCACCAGAGCACACACCAGGATGCCCAGCAGTGTCCCCAGGATTGTGCCAGGTCCTGCCAGGCTGGCTCAGGGCAACAGGGACAGCACGGGGTGGGGGGTCCTGGCACAGTGGGAGGACCGAGTCCCCCTCGGGGGCCGGAGGTGCTATCAGGGGCCCGAGGCACTATCGGGGACCGGCAGCCTGGGGGACCCAAGTGTGCTCCTGGGAGATTAGGGGGGGACCATGGGGGTGTGGAGATGCATCCCAGCCACACTGCCGGGGTTCAAACTCCACGGCGGCGAAGGTGACGGTGACAACAGGAGGGCCTGGCCTCGTGCAGGTGGGTGAGGGGTGCAGCACGGGAGTCAGCAGGCACGGTCGTGTGTGCAGGTGTGCATGCCTGTGTGTGCACCTGTAAATACGTGTGTGTGTGTGCCTGTAACCAGGTGTGTGTGTACACCTGAACATGTGTGTGCGCTTATAAATGTGTGTGTGTGCCCACAAACGAGTGTGCACCTGTAAACAACAGTATGCACCTGTAAATCTGTGTGTATCTGTAAAGAGCTGTGTGCCACATGTCAACAGCTGTCCCCCCGTGTGTGAGCCCTGGCCCTGTCTCAGCTGCCGTGGCCAGGGACAAGGGGCAGGGCTGGGGCCACGGTGGCCTTTGCCCAGGTGGCCACATGCTGCCACGTGCCCCTGTGCACCCCAGGTGTCCCTGTGCCCCTGGTGGGTGCCAGCATGAGGACGCCCAGCCTTTGTCACCCACAGGCTCAGTGAAGACGCCCCAGGCTGGTGACAGCCCGGGCCAGTGGCCGCCTGGGCAGGGGACATGGCGGGGGGCGCGGGGCTGGCCAAGCGCCTGGGGACCCTCTTGTCAGGGCTGCTGGAGTGCGGCGCCTTCTGCGGCATCATCTTCGGCTGGGCCTCCCTCGTCTTCGTCCTCAAGGACCTGGGCTACTTCGAGGGGCTGTGCCAGCCCTCTGCCACCCCCAGCCCCAACGTCACCCTGGGGTCTGGTATGGACCCCCACCTGTCCCCATGGTCCCCTGACTTGTGACCCCACCGTCCTGATGCCCCGTGCTGCCCCATGTCCCCCCTATGCCTGTGCCTGTGCCTGTGTCTTTGCTGCCTGCGATGTCCTGACGCCCTGCAGTGTTCTGTGTCCCTGCTGTCTCCAAGCCCATGTGCCTACTGTCCCCCAGTCCACGTCTCCGGTATGGTCACGTCCGTGGTGTCCCCACATACCCAGTGTCCCCTGCATCTCCGCTGATCCGTGTCCCCGGGTGCCTGCGTCCCTGCATCCCTGGTATTCCCGGTGTCCCCGTGTCCGTGTCTGCGTGTCCCCATGCCCCACTTATGGCCATCCCCAGACTGCAGCGGGCAGGATGAGCAGTTCTCTCTGGTCTTCACCATTGGCTCCTTCATGAACAACTTCATGACCTTCCCCATGGGCGTCGTCTTTGACCGCTTCGGCACCACAGCTGCGCGCCTCATCGCCATGTGAGCCCCGCGCCGGGGGGGACACGGGGGACGGGGCTTGTGCTGGGGGGATACTGAGAATGGGGCATTATTGGGGTGGCCTGGCTCCCAAGGGGCTGGGGTAGGGGAATCACCTGTGATTCCCAGGATCCTGTCCCCACGTATCATCGCTGTCCCCTTTAGCTCCCTCTACACTGGCGGGACCCTGCTCGTCGCCATCTCCACCCCAGGTGAGTCCCTGTGGCCCGGGGGTCCCCAGCCCTGGAGGGGGTCTCTTCGGTAACCCCTGTCCCCGCTGACCCCTGTGTCCCCAGAGATGGCGGTGCTGCTCTTCCCGGCCATGTCCATGCTGTCAGTGGGTGGCATCCTCCTCATCCTCACCAACATGCAGGTGGGTCCCCCGGCACCCTGACACCCACGTGGCGGCAGGACAGCCAGCCTGGCACGGGAGGGCTCTGATGGCACACGGGGGGCTCTCGGTGCTAGGTGGGCAACCTGTTTGGGAACTACCGCTCCATCATCATCACCCTCTACAACGGGGCCTTCGACTCCTCCTCCGCCATCTTCCTCATCGTCAAGGTGGGTGCAAGGGACGCGGCAGTGGCAGCAGGGGAGGGCAGAGCTGGGAACAGTTGGGTGACATCTATGGACATATTGGGGACATAATCTGGGACACAGCTGAGTCACTGCTGGGGCCACACATGGGGACAGACCTAGGGCCCGAGCAGGTGGCCGGTGGCAGCTTGTCTCTGTCCCTGACTCTGTCCTTGTCCCCAGCTGCTGTACGAGCGGGGGCTGTCCCTACGGGCCACGTTCCTTTTCCTGGCGGCCTGCAGCGCCTGGCATCTCCTGCGCACCCTCTTCCTGATGCCGCGCACCCGCATCCCCTACCCGCTGCCCCCCGACTATGACTACGGGTATGGGGGGCTGCCTGCGCCCTGCTGGGGCTCTGGGGAGAGGGGTGGCTGGGTCCCACCCTGTGGGCGGTGGGTCCCGTCCCCTGGGCAGGTCCAGCCCCACCAGGTGGCCGCAGGGTGACACAGGCGCTGCCGCAGGCTGCAGTGCCGGGGGCGCTCCCGCTCCTACCGAGCGCACAAGGACAAGCAGCCTCCGGGAGAGGCCGGAGCGGAGGAGACACCCCTGGAACCCGCCACAGCTCGAGGTGCCGGGAGCGGGAATCTGCTCGCTGGGGGTGGGGCTTTGGCCAGACGGGCGTGGTCACAGCCGGGCGATGGGCGGTGCCATGTAAATGAGGGGCGTGGTCTGGCGTGGCTATGCATGACGTGATTGGAGGGCATCATGCATATGCAGATAGAGAGGCGAGGCCTCCTGGTGGTGGGCGCGGTCTTTTAATGGGAGCGGGTGGAGGACCGGTGGATGCAAATGAAGGGGTGCTGGGTGTGGCTGTGTGCAGGCGCGGTGACACATCGGAATGGGCATAGAGGTGGCTGTGGAGCCCCAGCGGGTGGCAGGGACAAGGTGTGGCCTGGGGTGTGTGTCTGTATGCGCCCCGCCCTGACACCTGCACAGGTGGGGACACCCCCGGGACGCCGTTCCGGGCCTGCGCCTGCTCGTGGCTCTTCGCCTGGCACGTGGCCTGGCTCTCGGTGATGCAGCTGCGGCACTACCTGTTCATCGGCACCCTCAACCCGCAGCTCGAGCACCTGGCGCGCGGGGACCACGCCCTGGGTAAGGCATCGAGGCGGGGGGGGACACGGCGGGGACCCCCAGGGCCCGCCTGACGCTGTCCCCCCGCAGTGAGCACCTACACCAACGCCTTCGCCTTCACCCAGCTCTGCGGGGTGCTCTGTGCCCCCTGGAACGGCCTCATCCTCGACCGGCACAAGCGGGGGAAGGGCCCCCGCCCCGAGGGTAATTGTCCCCGCACCCCAAGGGCAACGGAGCCCCCAGCTTCGTGCCCTGAGGATAACTGACCCCCAAGGCCCTTCACCCCAGGTGGAAGCGCACTCCTTGGCCCCACACTATGGGGGTAATCCCAGTCCTGTGGTCCTTGTCTCCTATACCCTCATTGCTGCCGTCACCCCATGCACGAGAGAGAAGGGGCATAGAGGGGGCCGTGTCCCCAAGCTCTGACCCCCGTGCCCACAGGGATCCTGGCGGCGCTGGCAGACCTGCGCTCGGCGGTGCTGTCGCTGGTGGTGACAGTGGCACAGTGCCTGCTGTTCTCCGTGTTTGCCGCCGTGCCTGTCCTGCCCGTCCAGTTCGGCACCTTCGTGCTGCAGGTCATCAGCCGCTCCTTCCTGTACGGCGGCAACGCCGCCTTCCTGGCCATCGCGTGAGTGGGGACAGCCACGGCCACCGGGCACGCAGGGCTCAGGGTGGCAGGGGACGGTGACATGGTCGTTGTGGCAGGGGACAGGGTCGCATGGTCAGAATGGGGCAGCAGGGGGTGGCAGTGGGGAGGGAGGATGGCAGGGGACAGGGTGGAGGTGTCGGGGGACGGTATCGGGGAGGGGCTGTCAGGGGTCAGGGTGCCAGGAGAGTCCTGTTGGTGACCTGGGTGCCTGGCAGGTTCCCCCCGCAGCACTTTGGGAAGCTCTACGGGCTGGCCATGGCACTGTCGGCGCTGGTGGCCCTGCTGCAGTACCCGTGTGTTGCCCTGGTGCAGGGGCCGCTCCAGGGGGACCCCTTCTATGTGAGTGTGCTCTGTGGGGCCCCCGAGTGAGGGGTGGGGGGGCTGCTCCACGGGGAAATGGGGGTCCTGCCCTGGGAGGGAAGGGGTCTTGCCACATGGGAAAATGGGGGTCTCATCCCATGGGAAAATGGGGATCCCGGTCCTGTCCATGAGAAAATGGGGATGCTGCCCCAGCAGGGATGGAATGATGAGGTCTTATGCCATGAGAAATGAGGGTCCTGCCCCAGAGAGGGATGGGTGCCCTGCTCCTGGGGAAATGGAGGTGCTGCTCCAAGTGTCCTGGCCTAACACAGGGGATGAGGGAGGGCAGCCCCCCAGCCCCCTGCCCTGACACTCTTCCCCTCTGCAGATGAACTTGGGGCTCATCGCCGTGGTGCTGGTGGCCTTTGTCAGCCCCGTGGTGGTAGCCCGCGAGTGCCAGCGGCGAACCAAGGAGCTGGGGATGGCTGGCGCCCCCCTGGCAGCACCCCCCAGCACCGAGATCCACGCCGAGACCCCACACTGAGCCCCACAGCCAGCACACCGTTTTTGTAGCAGCCTCGGGGTGCTGTGCCAGTGGGGTCGGGGGGTGGGGATAATAAACATCGCTGCCCCCTCCACTTGCCGTGCTGCCCCCACGACCCCCTAGCGCTGTCCCCAGCCCCCTGGTGCACACAGACACAGCTCAGGGCACCTCTGCTTTATTGGGAAAGGAGCTGTGATGCCATGGCAGCACTGGGGGCTCAGTACTGGCAGATGAAGGGGCGCAGCTGGAGGCAGAAGCGGCTTCTCCAGAGCCCATCTGGGGAGAAGGACAATGTCAGGGCCATGGGTGGTTCCTGGAGCCCCCCAGTACCCTGCAACCACTTCCAGTGCCCCCTATATCCCTGCCTTGGCTCCCCCAGTGCCCTGTAACCCCTCCCAGTGCCCCTCCCACTGCCCTCAGTGCCCGCCTCAGTTCACCCAGTGCCCTGTAGCCCCCTCTCCACAGTATTCAGTGTTCCTCCGATGCCCCAGTAGCCTGTGCTCCCCTCCCCAGCACCCCCAAGCCTTGACACAGTGGGTGGGTGACCTTACCTCGGACGCTGAGGGTGGTGCAGGTGGTGACAATGTGCAAGGGTTGGGTGGGCGCCCAGTTCGCGTAGTTCCAGGGGCTGGAGTCCTCCCAGTAGGACTCCCAGTTCCCTGCCTGCTGTGCCAACACTTCAGTCCCCAGTGACAGCCCCCACCACCCCTACCCAGCCCCTCGACCCCAAAAACCAGCCCCAGCAGCCAATACCCAGCCCCTCATGCCTCCAAACCCAGCCTCCAGCCCCAGTATGCCATGCCCAGGCTCATCCCCCACAAAGCAGCCCCAACACCCAGCACCCCAGTCCCTCACCCCCCAAAGCAGCCCCCAGCTGGTCTCCTAGCCAGCACCCAGCACCCCTTTGGCAGCCCCTTGTCCCCGTTGTCTCTTCACCCTTTTGCTGGTGACGGCTCCGATCCAGGGTGAGATGATAATTTTGTAGGTTCGTGCCAGTTTGTGCAGTTCCTGGTTGCGGGAAGCGCTGTGCACCGAGGCCAGCTGACCCCGGTACACGTCCTGGCAGTAGCGCTGTGGGATGGGCACGGGCTGGCACCAGGCACTCACCTGTGCCCACGGGCACCTGCGGGCAGTGCTGGGTACCCCCTGCACCCCCCGTGCCCCCCGTCCCCTCACCTGGGCTTTGGCATAGGTGCGCAGCTTCTTCACCACGGTGTAGTACAGCGGGGGGGTCTCACCAGCAGGGAGCCCCTGCAGCTGGCGAGGGGCTGCAGGGCAGAGGACAGGTACCTGGGGTCCCTCTGCCAGCCCCAGCCCCAGGCATGTGGTGTCAGCGGGGTGGGCACGGCGCCGGGGTGGCAGGGACATCCCAGGGTGTTCCTGGGGGCGGGCAGGGCTGTGGGGGACACTCACTGGGGCAGGGGGACACTCACCAGGGTGGCTGGCAGGGACAGTGCCCAGGAGGGCCAGAGCGAGCAGCAGGCAGGGCCACATGGCAGTGGGACACTGAGGACACCACCAGGATTCTCTGGAGGTGCCTCAGCCCTGTCACCCTTGGCCACCCCCCACCATAGTCCAGAGCCCCTCTGCACCCTTGGTAACAATCTGTTCTCTCTGTGGCCCTTCTGCCATCCCCCATGTCCCCACTGTCCTTCTGCCACCCCCAGTCCCACCTTGTGTCCCACCCTGCCCCTCTGTACCCCATATCCCCACTGTCCCTCCACCATCCCCTGTGCCACTCCCATGTCCTCCTGGCATCCCAGAGACCCCTTGTGTCCCCCTGACACCATGGTCCCAGCCACAGGGATGCCCACCTCCGGTCCCCACCCAAGCAGCCAGGGGCTGAGCCCGCTCTGATGTCCCCCTCAATGTCCCTGTCCCCATCCTCACCTGGAGGCTCTGGGGAGCTCTGCTCATTGTCCCCCTTATAGGGGTGACAGGGCCACATGTCACCACCACAGCCTTGCGCCACCCAGCTGGCTCTGGGGACACCATGGGGACGTTGGGGTGACACTGGGGGGTGGGAGGAGTCCCTGCCTGCAGTGGGACACATGTGGCCCCCAGGAGGGGGGGCTGCAGGTCGGGGGGTGCACAGGGGTGCCCAAGGCAGAGGGTGAGTGTTGGGGCAGTGAAAGGGGCGGGGGTGCAGGGGTGGGGGCTGCTCCAGTTTGAGGGGTGCAAGGCAGGTGTATGGGGTGCAGCGTATCCTGGAGTGGGGGTGCTGGGGGTGCAGAGGGGATGTTGGGGTGCTGATACCATCTCCCGCCGGCCACGCTTGCCCAAGAGCCATTTCCTTCTCAACGGCTGTGGCCCCCTGGGTCCAGCCTGGCCGTTTGCCCACAGACCCCCTTGAGCCCCCCCTAAACCTCCCATGTCCCTGACCAGCTCCCCTGGCCCGCAGCTGAGCACCACACTGGGGACTCTGCATGCCAATCCTCGTCTCCATGCCCTGTCCACACCTGCACCCCAAACTCTCCAGCCTCTGTACCCCAACTTCTCTGAGCCCCTGTACTGACAACCTGTGCCCCAACTCCCGCAGCCCCCTCCCCACACCTTGCACCTCAAACCACCACAGCCTCCTCTTCATGCCCCCGCCCCCCGTCCCTTGGACCAAGCGCACCCCAATCACTGGCTGGGCAGGCTGCTGGCAGAGCCCCCCCCGGGGTGTCCCCCACCCTGTCCCCAGCAGTTGGTGGTTGGGGGTGTCACAAGACTGTGGTTGGGGACACGCGTCCCTGTCACTGATATAAGGGTGGCAGTGGGTAAAGCCCCCTGAAGACCCAGGTGAGCAGTGGAGACAGGGGCATGGGAGTGGGCTCAGCCCTCAGCTGCCAGGGTTGGCATTCCTGAGTTTGGCATTGGGGGACTCTGGGGTGCCAGGGGTGGAGGGGACATGGTGAGGGACAGAATGGCACAGGATGCCCAGGGGAGGGAGTGACACAAGGGTTGGAAGTGAGGAACTGGGCACATGGTGGGCACAGGAGGGCTGGGGTCTGTGGGGGTGGCACTGGGGATGGCAGAGGGACAGTGGGGATATGGGGGGTTTCTGAGGGGACTTGGGGAGGACAGTGTGATGCTGGAAGTAGCAGAGCAGCACATGGGGGTGTCCCCAGGGTGGCTGAGGGTGATGGGGCTTTGGGATCTCCCAAGGGTGCTAGTGGTGTTCCCAGTGTCCCTGTGCCATGCGGCCCTGCCTGCTGATTGCCCTGGCCCTGCTGGGCACAGTTCCGGTCAGCTGCTCTGGTGAGTGCCTCCCACACCCCCACCCACCCACAGGGACATCCCAGGGACACCCCTGATCTCAGGGTGACCCAGCTGGTGTCCCCAGCTCTTGCCAGCCCTGCAGTGGAGGACAAGGAGGATGTGACAGAACTGGAGATGCCCAAGGAGTACAGCGGGTGCCTGGGGGCCAGAGACAAGCAGGCACTCAGTGTCCCCATCATGCCGGGCACCGCCACCTGCCGCTACGTCGTCATCTCCCATCCCCGAAGCTTCCGTTGTGCGCAGGTGGGATGGGGTGGGTTGGGTGGGGGTGGGGGCACCAGTGCCCCCTGTGACAGCCATATCCCTGCAGCACATCTGTGCCCGGCGCTTCCACGGGCGCTTGGCCTCGATCCACGACTCCCACACCAACAGCTTCCTGCTGCTCCTGGCGCGCCAGCGCTCCATTGCTGGTGAGGTCTGGATCGGTGCCGTCAGCCAGCCCGCTGTAAGGACCCCCACCATGTGTCTACCACCCTGGCCTCAGGGTACCCTGTCTCCTCCCAGTGTCCCCGGTGCCCACCCCGGGTGTCCCAGCCCCACCCCACAATTCCCAGTGCACAACCTGGGTTCCCTAGTGCCTACCCTGGATGCCCTGTTCCCATCCCACTGTTCCCATTGCTGGAGGTCCCCATACCTTTTCTCCCCTGGCAGACCCCAATCCCGAGCTGCCACTGGACTGACCGGAGCCCCTGGAACTACAGCCGGTGGATTCCCGGGCACCCCCTGCCCAGCCACCGCTTCTGCACCGCCGTCTGCACCAACGGTCAGTGGGGGCTCTAAGGGAGGGGTCCAGGGGGGCTCAGGGGTAGTCCCTGCCCGTGACGGGGGGAGGCTGCTGAGGGGCTCAGGATGGGGAGGTGACACTGCGGGGCTGGTATCTGGGGCATCTGGGGGGTTATCCCTTGGGGCTGGAGGGGGGTCCCTGGAGGGCCGATCTCCACTCTTCTCTCCCCAGATGGGCTCTGGAGGAGCGTGCGCTGCAAGAAGCGGCTGCCCTTCATCTGTGAGATATGAGGGGCTCAGCCCCCCTGGATGCCCCCAGGCCTTCTCCACGTCTGCTCCCCCCTGGGGGGCTGCACCCCCTCCCTTGGAGTACAATAAAGTCTTGCTGTTGGCACCCACTTGGTGTTTGGGCAGGGCCAGGGGCCTGGGCTGGGTGCACCCAGGGTGGGCACAGAGTGGTTTTGGAGGTGTCCCTTGTTTCCTGCACAGCTCCTGTGTGGGCAATGGCAGTCACATGGTCCCCTCTTCAGGGATCTCTGTGATCCTCACCCATGGGCCAGGAAAAGAGCCAGGACTCTCTGAACTGACCAGCGAGGTTTTATTGTCTGTGGCAGCGGCACCATGAGCCGGACTCATCGCCCTGTGTCCAGGGCCATACACGAGCAGGGGGGAGGGGAAGGGGGAGGCTCGTGCCCACCCCCAGCCCCCTGGGGACTAAGGGGATGGGGTACATTGGGGGGATGAGGAGGAGGTGTTGGGAAGACAGGGACCCTGCGAGCTTGTACAAAGTGCATAGGTAGGTGTGTGTGTGTGTCCCCATGGTAGGGGACAGCCCTGGTCCGGGGACAGTGGTCTGTCAGCATCGGGGAGCGAGCCTGGAAGTGACACAGGGGGGAGGGGGTGAGGACCCTGCAGGGGTCTCAGCCAGGGCAGAGAGGAGGGAGGGGGCTACCCCCAGCAGTGCAGACATGGGGAGCTGGGGGGGTGTGTCCCCAGCACTGCCTCAAATCCCACACTCACCCCACTCAAGGCTTCTTCCTTTTCAGCTTCAGCACTTGCAGCCAGTTTGGGGCAGAGGCCTCAGATCTGGGGTATTGGCAGAGTTTCAGCATGAGCCCCCCAAAACCTGTCCCGAGACCCAGACTGATCCCCTCAGCCTCCATGAAGATCCTGGCCCCACACTCACCCTGAGGATTTCTCTGGCTTGGGAGGCAGGGTCGGGGGTTTCACACCAGGGATCTTGCAGGACTTAGAGCGCTGCACATGGGGGTCTTTAGGAGGGGTACCCTTGCTGTCCCCTGATGATGTTCCCTCTTCAGCCGAGCGGTTGCGACCCCTCAGCTTAGCCTGGGGGCAGAGAGAGGTCAGGGAGAAACAGTGCTCTGCCAGCCACATCCCCCACTGCCTCCTCCCTGTCTCCCAGGCCCCAGCCCTACCCTGCCTCAGTTTCCTTGCGTTCTACCCTCTCTTTCACCTTGCAGTCAGGAGTCCAAGGGACTCACCTTGATGGCAGAGGCGCTGAGGCCAGGAAAGAGAGGCACCTTGACCCCCTTGCCCGAGGGTGAGCCGCGCATCCGCCGGCTCCGGGGCTCCTCTGCTGCCTCCTCATCGGAGGACACTGCCAGGGCTGGCCGGGGCTCTGTGGGCACACAGGGACAGTGTCACCATGACAGTGTGCCAGGACAGACACCCTGCTCCCATCCCCATCCCCGCTGGGCTCACCCGTGGAGTCTCGGAAGATCCAGCTCTCCCCCTCAGTGGCGGTGGGACGCAGGGATGGCGCCCGGTGCTGGCGCTTGCGGCCCAGGCTGGCCTTGCAGCGAAACACACTGCTGTCCAGGAGTTCTGTGTCCTGCCAAGCCCGGGGGACAGGTCAGAGCTGGCACAGAGAGCCCAGGGACCCCCCATCCCAACCAGCACACCCACAGCCTCCACAGCAGTGCTGGAGGCCCTCAATCCATGGCTGTCCCTAGGGGCAGAGATGCCCCATCCAGACACGTCCTGTGACAGCCAGGCAGTCCTAGGCCATACAGGGTGATTAGAATCTCCCCACTTCCACTCACCTCCAGAAGAGGAAATTCCTGCCCCTGCTCCATGGACCCCTCGGCCTCGGGGGCAGCCAGAGAGAGCTGCTGCTCCCCCAGCCTCAAGGAGCTCTCCCCATCTGGGTGGTCTGAGGGCTGTTCCTCACTTCCTGTGTCCACTGGGATCCCACTGACAGCCTCTGGCAGCAGAGGGGGAGCCCTGGGGCTCTGTGGGGCAGTGGCTGGCTTAGAAGGATCCCTTTCCTCCTCAGAGGGGCTGGGTGACTCACTCCGGGGGGGCTCCACAGATGGAGGATCACCTGGAATGTCACCCATCAAAGGGCTGGGGGCCAACCTGCTTGGGAGACAAAACCCCAGAGTTGCTGTAGCCCTGGGTAACACAAGCCCTGCCCCAAACCCCTCTGTCTGCCTCAGGAGAAGCTCCTCCCTCCCTGCCACCACCACCCTCCTCCTTACCCATGCTCTGTGTGCGTGTCTCCTCCCAGGCTCCGCTCCCCCACACCAAGGTCCCGGCTGCGGGCAGCACAGCGGGCACTGAAGGCGCTCGCCCACTCCTGGCGACTGGCCTCAGCATCCTGTGGCTCCACACTCCAGCTGTCCAGGTCCTGGCTCCAGCGGGCATTGCCCATGTCCAGAGAGAGATCCCTGTGCAAACCTGCCTGGGGCTGTGGCAGGACCCTGGACATGGAGCCATCCGAGGCTCCAGCACTGCAGGGGTCTGGCACCTGCTCTGTCCCAATGACACCAAACTGGTTCTGGCACTCGGCTGCTCCAAGCTCCTCAGCCCAGTCCCTGCTGCTGGAGCTGTCATGCTCTGGCTGGTGAGCACTGCCCCAGGTGGGCTCCTGGGCTGGGGGATCGGGGCAATGGGAGCTGGGCATGTCCTCCTCACCAATCCTGATCAGTCCTGTCTGCCCGACACTACCCACAGCGGGCCAGCTCAGCCGGGCTGGGATCAGCTCCTGCTCTTCCTCCCTGGGAATCACAGAGCTGTGCTGCCCATACCACGCTGCTCCACTGGGGCTCAACTCTCTGTCCTGGGCCTCCATATCCCTGGTGCTGGATCTGTCATCCCAGACACCTCCGCTGGCACTGAACAATTCCTCATTCTGGGTCTCTGTGTCCCTGGTGCTGTGTCTGCCATCCCTGGCTGGCCTGCTGGATGTGAATTCACTGTCCTGGGTCTCCAGGTCCCTGCTGCTGGATCTGTCACCCCAGGCTGCTCCACTGGGACTGAACTCATCCTGGTTCTCCAGGTCCCTGGTGCTGCATTCACTGGCTTCAGCCAGCCTGCTGGGGCTGAACTCCTGGTCCTGGCTCTCTGTATCCCTGATGCTCGATCTGTCATCCCAGGCCAGCCTGCTGGGGCTGAATTCCTGGTCCTGACTTTCCAAATCCCTGGCGCTGGATCTGTCACCCCAGGCTGGCCTGCTGGGGCTGAACTCCTGGTCCTGGCTCTCCATGTCCTTGGTGCTTGATCTGTCATCCCAGGCTGGCCTGCTGGGGCTGAATTCCCGGTCCTGACTTTCCAAATCCCTGGCACTGGATCTGTCACACCAGGCTGGCCTGCCGGGGCTGAACTCCTGGTCCTGGCTCTCCATGTCCTTGGTGCTTGATCTGTCATCCCAGGCCGGCCTGCTGGGGCTGAATTCCCGGTCCTGGCTCTCCATGTCCTTGGTGCTGTATCTGTCACCCCAGGCTGGCCTGCTGGGGCTGAACTCCTGGTCCTGGCTCTCCATGTCCCCGGGGTTATACCTCCTGTCCCAGGCTGGCCGGCTGGGGCTGTGCTCCTTATCTGGGCTCCCAGCATCCCCAGTGCTGGATCTGCCAGCCCAGCCCAGTGTTAAATTCTCATCCTTGTTCCCAGCATCCTGGGTGCTGTATTTCCTGGCCCAGTCTGGGGTGAGCTCCCTGTCCTTCATCTCCATGTCCCCGCTGCTGTACCTGCCTGCCCAGGTAGGCTGCCCGGAGTGTGGCTCCTTGTCCAGCTGCCCGACATGTCCTGTGCTGAGGCCACTGCCCCAGCTGGCCTGTCCGGAGCCAAGCTCCTCTGTGCTGCCATAGCCCTGGCCCCACTTGGCTGTGCTGGCACTGAAGTCTGGATCCTGTGGGCAGCTCTTCCCAGTGCCAAGGGATGGGGACCAGTCGCTGCAGCCCAGTTTTGTGTCCCCCATCAGCTCCGTTGCTCTGTAGTCACCACTCCAGCTCTCCTGGGCAGTGCCGTCCTTTTTGCTGTGGGTGCTGTCCCAGCTGGATTTGGTCCCGAATTCCTGCTCCTGCTTAGTCTCAACAGGCCAGTCTCTCTCCCTGGACACACCTGGGTGGCTCCAGTCAAAGGTGCTGTCCCGGCGAGGGTGGCCAATGCCAAACTCACTGCACAGGTCCTTCCGTGACCAGCCCAGCAGGTTCTGGTGCAAAAAAGGGGAGAGGAGTTAGAGGGGGGAAAGAGGTTAGAAAGGGGAGAGGAGGGAAACACCTTGGGGACACAGCACAGTGGGGCCCATCCCAAGGTGGAGGCAGAACCCATCACCTGCTCCATAGCACACAGTCCTGCTCAGCCTCCACCCACCCACCCACCCATCCTGTCCCATCCCACAGCTCAGTGGAGGGCAAGAGGAGGAGCCCAGGCCACACCGACCATACAGAGTCCCCCACACCCCTCACCTCTGGAGAGCCGTGGACCCCGGGTGACGCCAACAGCTCTGTCAGCCAGCCTGGGTCAGCGTGGGGGTCAGGGTCCTGCGAGGGTCCTTCAGCCTGGCCTGGGCCCCCAGGACCCTGCAGGCTCCTGGGGCCATCACCTGCCCAGGCTGAGTCAGCTGGAGCAGCTGGATCTGGGGGGGCTGGATCCAGGGGGGCAGCTGTGGTGAGGCTGGGCTGGGCCGAGGACTCAGGCTCAGCTGGGTCCTGTTCAGGCTTTGTCACGTGAAGTGGGGAGTGGGACATGGGAGCATCCTGCTCTGCCTCTCTTTCCTCCTCCTCCTCCTCTGCCGAGCCCTCAGCCTCTCGCTGGGCCACGGGACCCCCTGGGCATGGAGCCCCCTCTGCCTGCTGGCTGTCAGGCCCTTCAGACCTGCTGTCCTTTGGAGGGCTGGGGGCCACAGCCTCCCCATCTGACTCCCCCTCTTCAGAGAGCCCTGAGTCAGGTGTCTCCCGGATGGGGGAGCGGGGAGGGAAGGCTGGCAAGCGTGCCCCCCACGACGGGAATGTCCATTCAAAGGACTGGGAAAGGCTCCAGGCGGACTCGCTGCCCAGGGAGGGCTCTGACAGGAGGTCTCCAGGCCGGGGCAGGGCACTCAGTGAGCCCCCCAGCTCCCCCAGGCCCTGCCCCGTGGGTGGGGGCCGCAGCACCCCCTCTGAGGAGCGCCGGAGCCCCACATCCCGAGGAGGGGGATTGAAATCAGGACCCTGATAGGACTGTGGGGACACTGCAGAGTCATCAGGTCCCTCTGGGGAGCCTGGGGGACGAGAGGCTTTGGCAAGGGGTGGGCTGGGGGGGCCCAGGTACTCGGCAGCAGCCCCGGGAGAGCCGGGGGGGCAGGTGACTCGTGGGGGCAGTTCAGGAGTGCCAGGGGGGCTGGCAGTGCCAGGGGATCCCTCCCCTGGAGTGTGTGGGGAGCCGGGGGAATGGGAGACACTGAGCTGCGGTTTGGTGGCCAAGGGAGCGCCCGGGGCCTGGATGGAAGTGACGGGGACCTCGACTGGAGGCCTAGTGGGGGATTCTGGGGAGCCAGGGGGAAGTGTAGGGGAGTCAGGGCCCAGGAGCTCAGTGGGGGCATCAGGGGAGCCAGGGGCTGGGGCAGAGGGCTCAGCAGGCTGGAAAGGAGCTCCTGGGGCTGGGGCTGGGCAGGTGGGTGGCCTTGGGGAGCCTGGAGGTCCGAGGGCACCCAGCTGTAGAGTAGAAAGCTGTGGAAAAAGCCAGCAGGGGGTCTCAGTCAAGAGAGAGCACCTCCAAACATCATGCATCCCAAGGCCAGCCCCCCAAACCTCTGGAGGGTCCCTCCCTCCAGCCCTGCTCCCCTCCCTGCACCCGGGGCAGGAAGTGCCCATGCTGCGTGCCAGAACCAGGCTGCTCCTGCGTGACTCAGCCAGGGCGGCTCCCGGCACCCCAGCCCTGCTCCCTGCCTGGCCCCCCGCTACCCCCAAAGCGCCTGGACAGATGGAGAGAAGAAACAAAGCAGGAAGAAGTCAGAACTCCCAGCACAGCCCCCTGCCCTGCTTGAGGCTGGCATCCCCGTGCCCAGTACCGCTAGGGTTTGCCCCCTTGCTGGGGTGACCTGGTGCCGGTGCCCAGGCTGCCACCCACAGTGTCACCGTGGCCCAGTGTCCCGGTCACTGCCCTGAGTGAACACGGCACGGGGAAAGGGGTTGGCGGTGTGCCCTTGGGGCCTGCCCTGCCACATACCTGCCGGGTCACCGAACCCCAGCTGGTGACTCACGGCTGCTCCCTGCCCACGCCTGGCACCGGTGTTGGCACATGCCGCCCCCACACCCCCGGGCCCCACGCCGGGCACCCGGCTCTCAGCCCCAGGAAGGGGCAGCCAGCACCCCAAGGAGAAAGGAGAGACACGCACCCCGCAGAGAGGGAGCCCCGGAGGAGACAGGAGAGCCCCGAAGGAGAGAGCCCAGGAGTGGAGCCGCCATGGCGCCGGAGGGCGAGGCCAGCACTCACGTCAGGAGGGGATGGTGGCCTCCGGCGTCCGTGGGGGTCCCCAGCACAGCTCGGCCCAGCTGGGGGGGAGCTGCTGCAGAGAGAAAAAGGCGAAGGGGGGTAAATCCCACTGTGTGCCTCGGTGCTATTCTCCCACCAGCCACGAGGCACCCCTGCCCCAAACCACCCTTCAAGGATGCAGGGTATAGGGTCGCGCCCTGCCACGGCCACACAGCCCCTGGCTTGGGCTGCGAGGGGAAGAAGGCAAAGTGGCTCCAGCTCCCCTTCCGGAAAGTTTTCGGTCCTTTGGGAGTGAGTTTCTCACACTCTGGTTCAGAGCAGCCCCCGCCCAGCTCTCCCTGAGGTGCCCGGCTCTTGGGAGCGTGGCCAAGCACTGGCCATGGCCCAGGACATCCTGCAGCTGGGAGCCCCGCCAATCTGACCGCTCCTTGTGCTCCAGCATGGCCCAGCAGGGAAAAAATAGCAAGGCTGGAAAATCAGGAGCATTTCCTGGGGGAGCGACCCCCTGCCTGTTACTCGCAGGGGCTGGCTAAGAGCCCACCCACAGGCAGCTCCTGGCCCGGGACAGCCCATTCTGCAGTCGGCACCGGCTGCCCTGGCCTTCCCACGGAGGTAGCTGGAGGCACTGCAGCTCGGGAGGAACCTGGGCCCCGTGCCGGCAACCAGACCTCAGCTCCGTTACATTCCCAACCCTGGGATGGCTTGGAGTGATACCTGTTCCCACTGCCATTCTTCCCAGCATCAGTCCCCGTGCCCTCACCTCATCTCAGACACAGGGTGTCTATCATCCCCCATTCCCAGCTCGCCTGCCACAGGTCGGGGCATCTGGGGGGCTTCACTGGCAGGGTCTCCATCTGCCTCCTCGCTGGGACGCTTCCGGAAGGCAGAAAAGGTCTTGGAGCCGAAGCGGGAGGAGGGGTCGGTGCAGAAAGGCGAGAGCCAGGCCCGGTCTGGGCTTCCTGGGCCCTCCCTGCTGTCCATCTTGGCCAGGATCTCCTCCACGGTGGTGCCTGGGAACCGCTCCGGCCTGGCAGCCACCGGCACTGGCGTCACCTTGAAGGGCGCCGGGCCCTTGCGCGACGGGGTTGGCGGGGCCGGGGGCACCTCCTCCTCGGCGCCTGTGACCACGGGTGACGAGAGCCCCTTCCCATTGGGGGTCTCAGGCGATCTGACAGTGAAGGAGGGGCGCCGGAGGGGCCCCCCCGCGCCTGCGCCACTGTAGGGCTGGGGCCCGGCCAGGCGGTTCATCTTCTCGGCCGAGGGCAGCTCGGGCCGGGGGTGCCGCGGGCCCGGCGTGGGGGGTGGCACCGGGGGCTTGGCAGGCACGGCCGGCTTGGGCAGCACGCGGGGCTTGGGCCGCACTGGTGGCTTGGGGCGCACGCTGCCTGCGGAGAGCAAGGGAGGGGGACGGGGTCAGCGGAGTGGTGCTGCCCCCCCCCAACTGGGAACAGGCCCCCGGGGGCTGCCCCAGCAGTCCCCCTGCTCCGATTCCCCCCAAGCCCGGAGTACTGACCTTTATCGGGGCTGCCGGCCAGCCCGGCCCCCGCAGTGCCAGCAGGGGACGTGCAGGGCACGGCGGGGTGCAGGGGCTGCGGCTGGGAGGCCATGGCGATGCAGGGACGTGGGGGGCACGGCGCGGGGGTCAGCCCCTGGGGAGAGAGGGAGAATCGTTTGGGGAGTGCCCCAAGCCTGGGAAAACACAACCACCCTGTGGGGCCCTGTGCCAAGCCCTGTCCAGCTGTGCCAAACGGAGATCACACCGTGGTGCCACCCTTAGTACATCTGCCCCGGCTCACCTGAGCCAGCCGGACCCCGGCAGCAGACCCAGACACGGCCCCAACCCTCCCCGTAAGCAGCTGGACCCCACACTACACCCCCTAACGCCGTGGGGCTCCTCCTCTACCTGTCTGACCCTGCGCTAACCTGTCCCAACACACACGTGTCACTCTCACCGGCCTTCGCCAACCCCCCAGCGCCGAGCTGGCCCCCAGTTCGCCCCAGTCCTCATCTCAGCTCCCTGCCCAGGTCACCTCCCGCCCCCCCGAGCCCCCGGCAGCCCGGGAGGCACCGCCCAGTCCCCCGAGACCTTCGGCCAGCCCCTCTCAGTGGCCGCGGGCGCCCCACTCACCTTCCCCACATCAGCCTCATGTCGGGGGCGGGCCGGGGACACACGTGGGGGGCGCAGCGCGGGCGGGGAGGAGGGGTTAGTGTCCCCACGAGTCTCACGCTGCTGCCGCCGCCTCTCCCGTGACTCACCGGGGCTGCGGGGACAGGAAAAACCCGCTTGGTGCCTCCTCCCGGCCCTGCCCTCTCTCCGCGCCCTCCCCTCCCCTCCCCGCCTCGCTCCCTCCGGCCCCACCGGGGTCCACCCTCCCCAAGACCCCCCTCCTCTCGCCTTCCACGGGGGAACCGCCGCCTCAACCCACATCTGGAAACCATCGGGCCCGTTTCCCAGCCCGGGATGGCGGCGGGGCCCCGGGATGCGGGTCCGGCCCCCCGGGGTCTTCCGCCAGCACGGCCTAGCCTCGTTGCCACGGCAACGAGGCCTCCGATCGAGTGGCTGAGTAGGCCGCGACCGAGGCCTAGCGCCGTCCCCATGACAACGAAGCCCCCCCACTCAATTCGGGGGTCCCGGGCCCATGTTGCCTGCTGGAGCCGAAGCCACGTGGTCCCCCGGCGGGCGCCAGGAGCCCGGGAGGATCCCGGTTACCCGCAGCCTCATCCTGGCAGAGAGACCCCCACTCACCCTCCACCGGCGCTGCTCATGCATATTCATGAGCGCCCCGGCCACGCCCCCGACAGCGGAGAGGGGGCGGGGCCGAGCGGCGCCGCGTGGCGGGCGGACCATAGAGAGGGGCGGCTGGAGAGTCCTCCAAAATGGGGGTGGGGGACACGCCGGAGACCTCCATCACCCCCCGAATCACCCTCGGGGGTCGGAACAGCCGGACAGGACCCCCTGGGCACCCCATGGAGCCCCCCCGTTGCAAATTATCCCATTCCCGGAGTCCTCCAACCGTGGGTCTGCTGCCGGAGGGCCAGTAATGCACATTTAGGTTGCTGTGACAATAGAGCCGCCCCCCACCATTTGGGCATCCAGGGTCCCTTGTGCCCACCGAGGACCCCCGGCTTCCGCCCCCGGGAGCTCCTGCTTCCCCGTGGCCCATCCCAGCGGTGCCAGTAAAGGCAGTGGAAGGAGGGGGGAACAGGCAGCCATGGGGTCCCCCCGGGGCTGGTTCCTGACCGGGAATTGGCTGCAATCAACACCGGAGGGGAAACAGGCCTTAATCGGATCAACCCCCTCATGAGGGAGGTAGAAAAACCCCCAAATGGCATCAGGATCGAGCGAGGGGCTGTAATTAGGAGCCCTGATGGCTGAGCAGGGGCTGGGGGCCGCTAATGGAGGGTGAGGAGAGAATGAAGTCAGCCCTGGAAGCGGTTCAAGGAGGGGAACAAGCTCACGGATGGCTGCAGGAAGGAAGGAGGGATGGGGGAGCCAGCCCCACACCCACACAAACACCATCACTAGGGTTTTTTTTTTATTCAACCCGAGTTGCCATGTCAACAGACCCAAAATACAAAAAAACAACACCAAAAAAAAACATCGAGGGAAGGAAAGAAAAGGAGAGAAACCCAAGTGTTTAGAAAAAATAAATTGATGGGATACAAATGTGCGGGACTGAGGAGCCTCTGGCACCTCCTGCCACCACAGGGTGCTGGGGGACAGGGGAACCTGGCCTTGCTCCCGGGTGGGAGCCATCCAGAGCCTGGGACCCTGGTCCCTGCCATGGGGCTGGCCCGCCCAGTTCTCTCCCGACCTGGGATCCAGCCTGGAGCCTGCTGGGATGGGGCTAATCCGAGCCGGATGCAGAGTCCTCTGAGCTGGGGGGAGGGCTGGCAGCCCCCTCGTCCTCCGAGTCCTGCAGGCAGGGGACAAAGAGGTCAGCAGGGGACAATGAAGGCAGGGCAGTATCCCCACTACAGAGGGAATAGGGTGATGGTGGTGACTTGGGGACACTCCAAGAGGTGTCCCAGTACCACAAACATAAGGTACTACAAGGACCCAGCCTCTCCAGCAGAAACCACCATGTTCCCCAAGGAAGAGGGACTGGGACCATCCCAGTTGTTCCCCAGGGACGAGGGACCAGTTGTGACCCCCACCTCCTTCTTGCTCTCTGCAGAGGAGCTCTCATCGCTGGACACAAATTCCTTGCTCTTGAAGCTGTCGCTCATGCCCTTAGCTGGGGACTTGGAGGATGAGGACTTGGAGGTGGTGCCTTTCTTGTCCCCTTTCCCCTTCACCTGCTTCTCCTGTTTCTTCTTCTTCTTCTTCGACCTCTCCCTGCGCAGGTGGGCAGAGGGGAGAGGAGCTGCATTACCTGGCTGGCAGCGCTCTGGCCCAGGGAACAGCCCATTTTGGGGGGCCAAGCCCTGCCAGCCCCTTGCCAGCACACTCACCCCCTGTGGCTGTCAGCCTTGCTGTATTCCTTCATGGCCTTCTCGTAGTCCCGCCTGGCATCTTCCGCCTTCCGATCCCACTCCTGCAGCCAGAGCACAGGGTCAGCGAGGCTGCCCCTCCTCCTCCACCATCCTCCAGCACCCACCTGCACCCCACCCTGCTCCCACTTCTGATCACCAAGCCCACCAGCCCAAGGACGTCCTCAACCCTTCCCAAATCCCCATCTGTGCAGTTCCAGGCTCCCAAGAACAAGGAAGGGTCTTCCATATCCAGCCTCCCCACCTGTACCAGGCCCAGCTCTGCCCTGGGCCTCCCATCCCTCACCTCCTTCTTCTCCTTGGACATGGCCTTCCAGAGCTCCCCAGCCTTCTTGGACAGATCAGTGATGCTGATGCCAGGGTGGTCTGACTTGATCTTCTCCCGGCTGGCGTTCAGCCAGAGCATGTAGGCCGACATAGGGCGCTTGGGAGCGTTGGGGTCCTTCCCCTTCTTGCTCTGGGAGGTGGAGAACACTCATGGAACCTCAGTGCACCCCTGACCCAACACGTCGGGACCAGGCTCTGCTCACTTCTGCAACCCCAGCAATCCAGCTGCAGCCCTGGGAGAGGGGCTGGTGGGTCACAGCTGGGGGTCAGGCTGCTGAACAGCCCAGCAACAACCAGGATAGGCTGGGCATGGGAACATCACACCCTTGGGAAAGGCTCAGCCTGGACCCATCTAGAGGCAGTGACGCCAGGCCTGGACAACAGCTCTGGTCAGCACACTGGTGAGTGCTGCAGGGGCTGAGGTGAGGCAGCTCAGGTGGGGCTGTGACCCTCCTGATCCCACTCCAGGAGCTGGTCCTGCTCCTACAGCAGCCCCTCACCTCCGGCTGCTTCTTGCGGGGCTTGCGGTCCTTGACGATCTTGGCCTTCTTGGCCGGCTTCTTGTCCTCACGGTCGCTGTCGCCATCACCGCTGGAGGAACTGGCTGAGGCATTGCTGTCAAACCTGCATGGGGGCATCAGCCTCAGAGCTGCTCCCAGACACCACAGCCCTGAGGCTTCCCGGGCTGGAGCTGCTCTGCTCCCGTTAACAGCCCTCAAGGGAGCGGCCTTCCACGAACACAGCTCATTGTGTTCTACTTCCTGGATATTTGGAGCTCTCATGATGCCAGGGCTCAGCTTCAAGTTCTCCCCACATCTCCCCCCCCATCCTCACACCCCTGCCTGGGGTTCTAACCCTCTTCCCAACTGTCCTCTTTCCTGAAAAGTGCAGCCAAGGCCTCCCCAGGAGCCCTTCCAGAACTCTCTCATACTGCCTAATGTCATTACAATGAAGTGAGCCCAGAACTGCCCCAGCTGCCCGCCCTTCCCAAATCCAGGGCTGTACAGTCCCAAATCTAGGTGATCCCAGTCATGCTGTGAGCATCTCTCAATGCTCACACAGCCCTAGAACACCACCTTCCTATGGGGCTTTTGGATAGAGACCTGCCTGGCCTCTACTCACTCTTCAGCCACATCATCATCCTCTTCTCCAGGGTTGAAGGACTCATCTGGAGGAGAAAGCAAGTGCTCAGTACTTTGGATCATCACGGGGAGCAGGAGCTGGAGCACCACAGCAGCCCCTCGCAGCCCCAGCCCTCACCTGTCTCCTCTCCAGAGCCATCACTGCTGTCATTGGCATTCTCCTCCCGGATCTTGCCCTCCTCTTTCATCCTCTCCAAGTAGGCATCATGCTGGTCCTCATCAGAGTCGGCATATTCATCATAGCTCTGCTTCATTCCCTGTGGAGAGGTGGGATGAGAGCCGCTCCCTGTGTCTCTCTCTGGAACACAGCCCTGGGTGAGCACGGCCCTGGGCATGCACAGGGAAGGGGACAGACATGACTATGTCCCCTCCTTCCCCCCTCAGGGCCCTGGAGAGAGGGGCAGAGCAGTTATGGGGGTTAGGGGGCCTTCTCACACCACGCTGGGGTTACTGGGTTAGTCAGAGACCACCACAGCCATGCACAGGAAACCTGCACCAGGAGGAGGAGGACAAAGAGGAAGGGATATCGCACGGACCTTTTTCCTCTACAAGGGCAAGGAGAGAAAAGAGAGGTGAAAAAAGGAGGGAAAAGCAGACAGACTGTGGGAGAAGGCAGTGCTAGCACCAGTGGGTGCGAGCCCTGCCCCACGTGGCTGATACCTCCTTCAGCCCCCGGTTCTTGATGTTCAGCTTCTTGGCATTGACAAAGTCGAAGAGCTTCCCGTACTCCTCCCTGTGGAAGAGGGCACGGTCAGGCCAGCTGTGCTGGGGAGCTCTGGTGGGCACAGCCAGGCTGGCCCCGCAGCCCACACCCACCTCTCGATGCTGCTGAAGGTGTACTGGGTGCCCTGCTTGGTCTCGATCTCAAAGTCGAAGGAGCGGGTGGTGGTGGTGCCTCGGGCAAAGTTGACGAAGGAGATCTCATCAAAGCGGATGTGCACGGGGGGCTTGTGAACGTAGATGAAGCCCCTCTCCAGTGGGTACAGCAACCCTGAACTGGCCTTGTAGGAGCAGGTGATGCACTGGGCTCCAGAGTGTCTGCAGGACAAACACTGCTATCCATGGGGACAAACACCCTCCCCGTGCACAGCCCTGGCAGACAGGCCCTGCTCCCCAGCACGAATCACACAGGGAGTCCCTTCCCCTACCTGGCCATGGGAATGAGGTGAAAAGAGAGGGACTGGCCCTGCAATCACTCACCCCTGGAAATTTCCAGGCAC